CGTGTGGAGAAAAGATCAGTGATTGTTGAGAATGGTGAGAGAGATGAATCTTTGAAGAATTTGAGAGATTACATTGTTTCGAATGTGAGATTTATCGGTCCTTCTTCGTCGTCGGAGCAATGGAATCATCGGAATTTACCAAGCTCGGACTTTGTGTAATCACCGGTGGTGACAAGAAAAATGTCAATTTCTTTTTTTTAAAATACATATTTCTTTATTTGTGATTTATTCGATTTAATTTCGGCGCTAAACTTTTTGCAATTTTTCAAGTAAATAATTTTTTTCGATATGCTAGTGTAATGAAATTTTGATTTTTTATATATAGATTTTACACCGGAATCCAATCCAATTTCTAAGCTTTATTGCCGGCTATTTTATTTGTTGTCATTATAAACGTTTTAAATGAAAACGAATTCAACCGTTGAAGTACGATAGGAATTAGGATTCAAACAGTGGTCCAAATTATAAGAAAAGAAAAAAAACTCGTAAAAAATGTGTGTGTGCAAGTGATAAACCAAACGAAAAATTTGAGCTTTTATGTTGAGAAATACTCACATTGTAGCTTAGGAGTGGGTATTATGGGGATATCATCAATCAAACCACGCTTAATTTGAATTGTAGGTGAAAGTACGTTGTATATAACTTATTTGAGTTTGAAGATATCTATTAAATGATTTATTTGGTTTGTATTATTGATGATATACTACACATGGAAACGTCGATTTGGGTAAATTAAATCAACAGCTAGCCAGCTCCATTAATTTAGAGTGGTTTGTTGAATATCATTTGGAGATTCCTCGAGTGGATGGTTTGTTCTTTTCTTGTATGGTGGTATTTTTCTTCATGGTTTGCACCGGCACTTCTGATTTATGCGTAGATGTTGCCTCTGTCCGTCGTGGATATGGTGGCTGCTTTGCTTCGGTCCTTGCATCCTTGCCGTGTGATTCTGGTTTTGAGGAGCTTGTGTTTGTATGTGTACCTCCAGTGTTAATTGGTTGTCTTTCTTTGCTTTGGTTCTTTGGTATTAGTTTGTCTACGGGTTAAAGTTTGGATCTTGTCTCTCTTTTTTGGGCTACTGGTTCTAAACTTTTGATTTCGTTTCGGTTTAACTACGGTTGGGTACGCTCTGTTCCGGATCTTATGTGTAATATCCTTTCGTTAATAATATATTCATTTTAGATGCCAAAAAAAGGAAACGTCGATTTGGGTAAATTAAATCATAATAATTACAACAATTAGTAGAAGAACAACGAACAATAATGAGATATATAATTGATGCAAGAAGGGATTATTTTAAGATTTTGAATCAAAAATGAAACAAATTGTTCTCTATTATTGTGTTGGACACCGGACAACGTCGCTCCATCTTCCCATGTGATTTTGTCTCAAGACTCTCGACTATCCGTTACGTTTCACCGTAATTGTTTTTTTTCCCCCAAAAAAATCAACCAAAAATTAGCAAAAGATTAATGATAATATGACCCCAAATAAAACGAAAAATAGCTACTTCCCTCTTCTCCAAAAAATTGCTTTTCATAAAATTTTCTCCACTCTAGGGAAAAATCAATTACGAAAAACATAGATTGTGGTTTTGATACCATTTCGGAATTATGAGTAGAAATTTTCTTTTTAGTTTTTCACTGAATATATCAACGCATAAGTTCAAGTTCAATGATAATAAAGCTAAAACTAATGGGCTTAAGAGTTGTACTAATAGCGAATCCAAACGAGTGTTTATTCGCTCACAAGAGCCTAATTAAGTTTTTTTTATTACATAAGATGAATATACATATGGAATCATTTGTTGGAAACCCTTGACACTTGGATCTTCTTTGATATTTCATTACTTGTTGAAACATTATTGGACTTGGATCTTGGATGCTTTAATATGTACAATATGAAACTAACATAATCTTTGGTACCAAAAAGTTATATCGATCGACAAAGATTTTTAGCGTTTCATTTTCCGTTTACATCTTTAGAGTTTGGGCATAAACTCATTGACTCGTATGAATAAAAAAACAAAACCACTAAAGTTGAACCCTATTATCAATATCAGTGAAAGCATTATTTTATGGGGAAAAAGGTCAAATGCTAAAACCATTCGGCCAGTATATAGGTGGAGATTTTGTCAGTATGATCTTATCAAGTTTGTGTGTGGTTTATCTCTTTGTCTCCTATCTTATAGTATAAACTTTGAAAAGTTCAATGAACCTATAAATCACTATTTTTTGACATTGATGTTTGTTAATAATATAGCAACTGTCAGTGGACAGCTCGTTATAAAAATGGGTGGACATTCGGATTACAAATTTAGTTTTAATTCAGTTTTTTTTTTCTGGCTTTTTAATTATATCAATTTTACAGAAATTGAAATCACATATAAGCATTTATACTTGAGTTTGGTTTTGGTTCCATACAAGAAATGAGGTTATTTACTGACGGCTGATATCGTTGGTCGTCAGTGATAATGAATTCGTATTGATTTGATGATTTCAATACCCATTTTACAATTTGGATTTGATAATGATTTCAATCACAAGTCTTGACATTGGTAGTTAAAATATACATAAACTGCAATAAGTTATAGACAAAGTTTGAGTCCTAGAAATGTTCATTTTTTACTGGTTCATCTTTCGTTACCTTCGACGTGAAGCTGACGGCTTTTCTCGGATGCTCCCTTATGTTCAGGCTAAACACTTCAGGCCTCGAGTAATGCCCGACCACATCGAAATCAAACTTGGCTCGTGCTATGTCCCCAAGATCTGTCAGGAAATTTTATGAGTATTGATTGGTTTGTTTTGGTTCTAAAAGAATGAAGAACAACGATGATAAACAAGTGTTAATAATAACTACCTAGATCAGCTGAGATAAGTGCCTCTCCTTCATAGTTTGGTCCGGCTAGAACAATTCCTAAAGGTGAAATGATAGAGCTACCACCGGCGCAGACAACCGAATCCGGTGTCAAGCTTTCTTCTGAACCGGAAAACAAGTATTCCGGTGGAGGAGGATAATCTTTCCGGCGACAAAATTGGTTAGCTGACAAAACAAAACATCCACCTTCAAGAGCGATGTGAGTCATTGAAGCTTGCCAAGTTTCTCTAGCATCAGCAGTTGGTGCACAATATATCTCAATGCCTACAAAATCAGAATCGAGAAACACATAAAAAATGAACAAAGCACAAGCAACACATTGGTACTTCTAACTATGTGTGTAAGATGCATTAACTCATACTGCTCATATCAATGAAAAGCTCAAAAAGAGAGACTAACCTTTGGCATACATTGCGGTTCTTAAAGACGGCATCCTATTCTCCCAACAAATAGCAGCGCCGATTTTCCCAATGGGAGTATCGAAAACAGGGATTGTTGATCCGTCTCCAAATCCCCAGATGCAACGTTCAAGAGCCGTAGGCATGAGTTTCCGATGCTTACCCAAGAACTGACCTTGTGGATCAAAGAAAAGAACAGTGCAGTATAGCGTATAGCCTTCCCTCTCTATCACACCCATAACCAAGAACACTTTGTACTTCCTCGCCATTTCCGCCAATCGTTCCACTTCAGGGCCTGAAATTCCGCATAAGCCTTTGGTTAATTAATGATTAATGCAAACCAAAACAAGATGCACATATGAATAATCGTTCAGAAACAATCTCAGTTTCAGATGATTAACATTTCCAATTCGAAATTCCCCAATTAATACAAATCCAAGAAGCCAACGTAGCTAAAATTTCGAAACTATTTGACTAATCGATAATCTAAGGGATCCAGCAACGAAATGAAGAAGAAATCGAAGAGGTTTCAGCTTTTACCAGGAACATCAATGGCAGAAGCATGGTATTTTCGAAAATCATCTCTTCCTTTAGCAGTTCGAGCACCAATCGCCAATTCGAAGCTAGAACCACGAGGATATCCGCCGATGAACGCCTCCGGGAACACCACGAGCTGAGACCCAAGATCCGCCGCCTCGGCGAGCAACCTCTCCGCCTTATCTGATTTCATCGCCATCAATCAATCAACCAAAGTGAATCGAAATTCTCAGAAAACGAGAAAAAATTTGCAGTGAGAAATCCAAGGTAAAGGGTAACCTAGAGTGGCGGGAGTGTCGTAGAAGACGGTGGAGGCTTGGACGACGGTTGCTCGTACGGTGGTAGAAGAGTCGCCGGCGGACATGTCAACCTCGGCGAAGATTTGATCGACGTTTACCGGAGGATTCGCCGTCACGAGAGACATTTCTTGCTGACTGGACATCGACCTCGAAACTCTGTGAGCTGAGAGAGATCAGATAGATTCGAGTATGTTCTTTTACTTCTTTTTTAGTGGTTTTCGTTGGTAGGTGAAAACAAGATATTTTCGTTCTCTTTATTTTAATCAA